GTTGTTCCAGAAAAATTATGAAAATCAAGAACAACCAATAGCTTTCTTCTCCGCCAAATTAAATAAACATCCGAGGAACTATTCCGTCACAGAGTAGGGATGTTTGGCGGCGATAATGTGTTATGCCTTGCCTGTCGAAAGCACCAGTATATCGCTCAGCCGGCTAGCTATCGGCTCAGGGGTAGTTCGACCGCGATATATTGGGCGGCAAGTTAACAAAAAAAAATTTGTATTCTTTTATAAATAAAAAAAATCTCGGACTCTCCTCTAACTTTCCTGGGGAAATTCCCTTTCATAATTATTTCTTTCTCGTTTGCTTCTTATGCCCTCATCTCACCCAATCACATTGATTTACCACATCATGTTCCTTTTTTTAGACTATTTAATTTACAATTCATATGATACATGTAACATCGTGATCCCTAACCTTTTTGTTGGGCAACACCAAATTCGCTTATATATATTTAATACAATTTTATCTATCTACTTAATTTAAAGCTTACAAAACATTTAGTTTTTTTTCTTTTCTATTATTTGGCTTTAAAAGTGAGCATCACTATTGCCTTGGTTAGGGCCGATCAGCTGTCTTTGGCTCACTCTGCCGCTACTAGGCGGGAACAAACTCACTGATCTGTAGATACAATCCGAGTCGTCTCACGGTCTCCGGGCTTTGATTTCTTGGTTCCTGAGTCCAGTTGGCCGATTTCCTCCTTGATGGTGGCGATGAATAGTTCCTCCTGTTGCTGCCGCCGGTTTGTATGTTTTTATTTTATTATTTTATTTATTATTTTTACTTTTGTTTTCTATTTATTTATTTTACATTATTTTGTTTTATATATAATTACTTCAACATTTTTTTACAACCAATTTATTTGAATTTCTTTTTTAAAACCTTCTCGCAGCGCATGCGCACGCGGTCGAACTACCCCTGAGCCGATAGCTAGCCGGCTGAGCGATATATTGGTGCTTTCGACAGGCAAGGCATAACAAATGTATATTAGAAAATTTAGACCGTATATCGAAGGAATGCCATTTACATGTATCACTGACCACGCCAGTTTAAAATTGATGTCCATGAAGAATCTAAGTGGGAGGTTAGCTCGTTGGTCCCTACAACTGCAGGAATATGATTTCTGTATAGAACACCGGTAAGGTACTGAAAACGTGGTGGCCGGTACACTTTCTCGTAGTGTCGAGGAGATTGGTTTTGATCCGGAGCAACTGTTGGGTTTTACAACCACGGAGTTTGAGTCAGAAGAGTATCAAACATTGCTCAAACAGGTACAAAAGAATCAAGACCAGTTACCGGATACGAAGATAGAGGGAGACTTGCTGTTCAAGCGTACGGAGTTTGTTCGCCCGGAAGATGAATTAGAAGGAACGATTTGGAAGCTGTGGGTCCCTAACACTTTGACAGCCGGACTGATTGAAAAGGCCCATATAGATGAAATGGCAGGGTATGGTGGGATCTTTAAGACGTTGGAAAATTTGCGGCGTCATTTCTACTGGCGAGGCATGGCTGTTCAGGTGAAAGATTGGGTGAAGCAATGTAGGACCTGCAAGGAATGTAGAGTACCAAACTTTCTGATGCAAATGGGAATTGGAAATGAGGTAGTAATGGAAAGACCCTTCCAAAAACTCTATATAGACTTTCTGGGGACATATATAAGATCTAAGCAAGGACACGCTTGGATCTTCGTGATCGTAGACCATTCAGAATATGATTGAATCTTTCGGGATTTCGCATATGCGCACGCCTGGGTACTCGCCACAAAGTAATGCTGCAGAACGGGTTAACCGGACAGTTCTAACGTCCATAAGAGCATACCTTGAGGAAGATCACCGAGACTAGGATTTGTACCTTCCCGAGATAGAGGTATCCATACGCAACGCCGTACACGGGGCTATAGGAGTTACGCCATTCTTCGCAGTTTTCGGACATCATATGTTCCCCAACGGGGCTAACCACAAACTAGCTCGAAAGTTAGGGTCCATGAGCGAACAGGAGGTTTATCATTTGCTTGCATCGGATAAGATGCAACTCATTCAACAGGGGATCCAAAACCAGTTACGTAAGGCGTATGAACGAACGTCACCAGCGTGGGGAGGTTCGCGCACGGGCATTTCATGCGAAGCCGGGCCAAGAAGTCTACCGACGGAATTTCGTTTTGAGTAACTTTGCGAAAGGCTTTAGCGCCAAATTTGAAATCCCCTTGCTCCCAAGATTCCTTCAGTGGCGAGGCGTCCCTCTAAATCTCGGGGTACTGTTGCGGCAGGCGGCGTGGTATCGATAGTTGGAGCTGCCAACAGGCAAATAGGTGGTAACCCAAGATTTCAATTTTAAGAGAGTAGACGGAGAGTAAGTTTTTTAGAAAGATAGAGTGAGTTCGCGCGCCTAAGAAACGGAAAGAAATAAGTATGAAGGAGCGCAAAGTGCGGAGATAAAGATCTTTTTTTTGGGTGGAAAAAAAGTGAACTCAAAAAAAAAAGAGGAATATCGCTACTAAATTTAAATTAAACACCGAAAATGCAAACATACAATATTAAATGAAACCAGCCGGCGGCAACAAATTCAAATAATAAAGAAAAATTTAAAGATCGAAGAAACAAACCTACAATATTTAATAAATCCGGCGGCAACAAATTCAAAAAATTCAAAACCGCCGACAATGACACAAAAAATGTAAATGTCAACATAAGCCGAGTAAAGAAAATCCCCGCAGATAAAAAAGCTACCAGGAGCAGCCATCCGGAACCAACAGCGACATGGAAGAGCAGGACGAGGGGAGCGAAGGATCGGAACCACACAACAAAATCGTGAGTCCGTCCAATAAAATCACGGCAGAAAGAAATTGGTATCTGTCAGCAGAGCGCACGCCTAACATCCCTCTCGCACAGCTAATCAGTTTTACATAAGTGATGCGCAGCCGTCGACAGTGATGCGCAACTTTTTGTTGGCTAAATTTGTAGATTATAGTTTATGTATTTATATTTTTTTTTCGTTTGTTGTAATCTATTTAATTATTAGTTTATTCGTACGGCTAAAATTTGTTATATTAAGGCCCATCATCGATTAGGTTATCATAATTATTAATTGTTATAAGCAATTATTTGCGCTGGTCAAATAACTCATTCCGGCTTTAAGCTTTAATCGTCACCGAGACATCTCTTTGTTGGTTTTCTACGTGCCGAATGCTAGTTGATTATTTGGTGCAAATGTTTTTTTTTCTTTTGCCATAAAATATCTGTGAGTAGATACCCTCATATTTATCCCTTGGAGCTCCATAGGGTACTTAAGGGTGTCCCCCAATGGTCTGAAAACTCACCTTCGTGTTAAAAAAAAATTAAATATAAAAAAAAATATATATATAAAAGAACTTAATTTTGTATATAGGTTATGTAAAAGGCTTTAAGCCCCAAAAACAAGACTACGCAAAGTAAGGCAATTGTGATGGCGTAGAAGGTCGAATAAAGTTTTGTCGGGTCTCGTTCATTTAAATTAAATTTAGTGTAATAACTATATATACCAATAAGTCTGAGCGTAAAATATTAGCCGTAAGCTATGAACATTAAATGTGCGTAGTCAGTTAAAATGACGGCTTAAGATTTGTAAATGGAGAGGAGGGGACCAAAAATAAGATAAGATAAGATGTGATCTTTGATATTAAAAGGGTGGGGCATTAACTATATGATTTCGCCCCACAGGAAGGGCGGGAGCGCTACGGCAATAACAGCGAGGCCACCGTTGGACGTCTAAGTTGACGTATTTCTTTTTGTTTTAAATAATGGTTGCCACTATCCGTTAAACCAGCTGTTTAATAGTGATGTGTAGATTTGTTTAGTGTTGTGTTATTGTACGGTCGGTGGGCATGGGTTGACCCACCCCTAATGGAGTACTGGCTGGCCGGAGCTGCCCCATTAGAACAAACCGGCTCGTAACAAATATGAATAAATAAATATACAACTATGAATAACAAATAGATGTACAAATTACTTTGCCTACAATTTAAATACAAGGAAAATGGACTGGATGTGCTGAAGCACTACGACCGGGACGCTGAATTTGGGTTTGGCACAAATGCACGCAGTCGACTTGCACTCGACTGGGCATATATTTGGTTTTATATGTGTCTTGACAGTTCATGATTTTAATATAAATTACGCCTTTTAAATTTGGGCGTGACAATACATTTCATTTGCTCATGCGTTTGAATTTAATTTTTGTTCGATTATATTTTATTACGCTCGAACTATGCGATTTGGGTCGCTGATGGCCTAATCCTAGGAGTACGTGATGGCACTGGTTACGTATTGGAACGCGCTCACCGGCTGAAAAAGCTCACCGTCGTTGCGCATGCGCACTCCCAATGTCGAAATAAACGATGCGCCAAGTGATTCCTTCGTAATAGTAGACAAGGTTGTCTCCAGCGAATTTAGACAATTCTTGGTCGCCAAGCAAAAAAAAATGCGGCGCGACCTGCTTTCGGCCACCTGAACATATACCACAAAATTAGAACAGAAAAAATATTTCAACCATCACACTTACGCCGAATTTTACTCCTCAAAGCCGAAAATATAGCAGAAGGTTAGTGAACTGCCAAGGACATTCCAATCTTCATCCGCACGACACAAAAATTTACGCGCCAAGAAACATGACCTGCCTCACTTTTAGTTCGTTGTCATGTGCTAATTCCCCCTAACCCACAAAACTCCACCTTGCGGAAAATTCGGTAACATTCAATGTGATCTCGCTGACCCTGTCAACTTGCTTCCCTTTTTCAACAATGTGGCCTTTTAAATATTCTCTTTTAGTGGTGGTATGCGATAACTGCCTATCAATCTGTATTTACAGATCACACATCAAAATTTTTTAAGCATTTTTGGGTTTTTTATTTTGTACGCTAAATAAAATTCAAATTTATGCATTCGTCAACGGATTCTGTTAAGTGAGGAGCAGCACTGTTAACTGCACATATGTCGTGTTGCCTTTCCCAGCGAATGCCTGAATTGTCGGGGCGTCAATTGTTTTTTGTTTTTTAGCAAAAAAAGAAAAGGGAAAAAAGTACACGAAATGCTAAAACCAAAAGCGCTGACCCAGGTTTTAAGCCAAGCAAACACTGGCGGCGTCGAAAATACGCTGTAAGTAAGCGCTTCACATTTCTGAACAAAACAGCAAAAGCTACTTTGATTTTCAATTACAGTCTTCTCAGCCAGGAAGGCGCTCTGCTGGCATACTCCGGCTATGGTGATAAGGATGCACGCATAACTGCAGCGATAGCGAGCAATATCTGGGCTGCATACGAGAAACACGGACGCAATGCATTCCGGGAAGATCGCCTGACGTTTGTGTTAATTGACTGCGAGTGCGGTCATGTGGCCATCACTCAGGTGGGAGACACTCAAAACAATTTCAATTATAGTTATTAATCAAATTCTTTTTCTTTTGCAGGTGGCCAGTGTCCTTTTGTGTCTCTATGCCAAAGAGCATGTGGGATTGGGCATGTTGAAACAGAAGACCATGTCGCTGGCTGCGTATTTGGAAAGCCCATTAAAGCAGATCTCGGCATCATAATTATCGAAAACCAAATATAGCTGAGAAGCAACGGTTTGCCTATTTATAAGCATAAATTCTGTTTTGTAGTTTATAAACAAGTATTTTATATCATATGTTAAACACTTTTGGCTCGGAAATAAAGAAGAGTCTGGTTTATTTACGCAGCAATTGATTTACGGGTACAAGAACAGCTAAATGTATGTAGTATATTTATATAAAATGTTGAACTTATTGCTAACTATGGATCTCCGATGGCTTAAATTAAAATATGCAGCTTTTACTCGACGGCATACAACTTCAGGGTGCGATCCATGCTGGTGGAGGCGATATATTGAGCATGCTTACCAAATCGCACGCCTGTGGCGAGTGCTGTGTGATCGTTGAATACCTTCAGGTCCTGCCACTGTTTGCACAAGTAAACCCTGCAATATAAAATTGGACATGGAAATGTTATCAATGTCTGGTTGCGCTTGGTAACTACTGTTAATAAATGATTATTTAACCCTGGCAACATAGTAAACAACCACTAATCGAGGACACTCTTTAAATTTAATGATGAAAAAGTTTAAGCGTAAAATTTTCCGCAAATATGAAGGTAAGATTAAGATGCATTGGTATCTATTCATAAGTTTCTAATAAGCAGTTCTTCCTAATAGATTACATACGACCACAGGACTATTTGGAACCGAACGCACCAAAACATATCAATCTTTGCATTGATGATTTTAATGCGGTAACAAAAATTGGCAAAATCGTATTTAAGTTTCTTAAATATTTTCCCTGCGTTTTCAACAGCGAGGTGAAGTTGCCAATCCGCGTGCGCCATGTGTGGTAACCACCATAGATCCGGATTATATTAAAGACGCTGGCCTGCAGCGTTTGGCAAAGAAGTTTCGCATGAAGACGTCTGTAGTCTGCAGACAACTTTAAGAGTTTTTATCTAAATTAAATATTCTCCATTTACAGTGATATTTTATTGCTACGCGAGATTACACGCAATAAATTTATGTGCTACTCAACGCAGGAAATGTTTTTGGATAGGAGGCGTGAGGTTGATCACCAAAATCAGCTCTATCGGGAGGCGCAAGAGTTTCATAAGTTTGCCGCCGATTCGCTCATGAAAATGAAGGCTAACGAATTTAAGAAAATGCTCCAGGCTCAGGAAAACCTCAAGAAGCTCAAAGAGAACAAAGTGGCTGAGGAGCTCAACCAGGTGAAATTGCAGCATCAGCGTGTGCTAATGGAGGTACAGGAAATCTATGGTCGCTTTCAGTACTTGCTGAAGTTGATTAGCTACTTTGACGACACGCTAGAGCAGCAATCCGAGCAGGTTGACATCAAGTTGCCAATGCCCCAGCATATTGCCAATATGGAGATCAGCGAACGTCATCCGGCTGGCCTCGAGCAGGTGCGGCAGGTTAAGCAGTATATGGAGCAGGTGATTAGACCGTATCTGGATAAGCGAAATCATTTGAATGCCGAAATTTGGATCAAGGGCTACGAACGGAATCGCATGAAGGTGTCCAACTACAACAAACGCTTCACACAGCTGGCGCTGCTCAACCACATTGTTGGCATACTCCATGACAAGGCAGTGAGTATGTGGATATTGCTCTTACTTATGGAGCGCATTTAATTTAAATTTCATCTGCAGGAAAAGACGCAAAAGCGCAATGCGAGCGCCGTCGTATTTCTCAAGGACCCAGAGTTTCTGCAACGTCGCATGGCTGCACTGCAGCAACGTGCCCACGAGTTGTTTAACGATTACGAGCACTCCTACTGCAAGGAGTATGTTAATAGTTACAAAAATGCTAATTATTAATTACATTAATTACATATCTCTTCAGCAAGCTGAGCATCAAACTGAATAGCATTGTGCCGGTTATCCTGAAACGGCTGCAGAATAAAGTGCAGCCAGAGCAGCAGCCACAACAGCAGAAGCAGCCACCAAAGACCCCGCCCCAAAAATCATCTAAGCAGTGGCGTACCGTGGAGGCTATGCGTGCGTCAGTGGCTAACACAAAGAAAGCCAGCTACAAGGACGAGCAGGATACTACGCTCACCAAAGTGGAGAAAATTCAGACATTTGCCTTGGTAAGTGTACTCAAATTAAATACGAATGAACAGAAGACGAATTGGTGGTGTTCTTTTGCACAGGAACTGCTGGGCAAACTGGACGCCATACCGCCAACTGATCTGCGTCGTCTGGAGAAGAGTGTGCGACGGCACATGGCGAAGCAAAACGAAATGTCGCGCCGTGCCCTGGTCAAGCAGAATCGCTTACACAACTGGATGGAGCACTTCAAAAAGCATCACCGATTGCAGCAGGCACAGTATAGCAAGCAGAAGGCTTAAACAATAAATTTAATTATACCAAAAGCATATTTAATCCTTACCAGAATAAAAAGCGAGACTATAAATAAATTTACATCCATAAAGCTAAGCGATGCGCGCTGATCTTACCTGACATCGGTGCCGGCAATGGCCAGATAGGTGCCGCTTTGATCGAAGCACAGGTCCTTGACCTCGTAGCCGTCGTCAAGTTGTATGGTCTTGAAATTCTTAAGTTTGCGCAAATCCCACAATTTGACGCAAGCATCGTCCGCTGCCGTGGCCAGATAGTAACCGTTCTCCGAGAACGATATGGCCGAAATGGGACCAGTGTGTCCGGGGAAATTGGCCACATTGCTCTGCTCCTTCAGATCCCAAATCTTGACTTGTGAATCAACGGTACCGGTGCCAAAAATCAAACCATCCGGATGGAACTGAGCCGTTGTCAGACCCACCTCGGCTGTGTCAATGACCTTGGTCAGTAGGCGTCCAGTGCGTATGTCCGAGAAGGCCCAGTGTTTGTCCGATGACGTAGACAGCAGGTAGTCGCCAGTAGGATGCAGCGAGAGTCCGGTGACGGGTCCCTCATGGCAGCGTAACAACAGCTGCGTCTGCGTTGTGGGCACATGCCAGATGCGTATGCTCATGTCTGGTGAGCCGGTGATAACAGTGTCCTCGTTGGGATGATAGATGACCTTGGTGATCTTCTTAGTGTGTCCCTTCAGTATAGCCACCACCTGCTCCGTATCCTTGTTAAATACAGTTGCATTCTTATCATTGCCACCCGTCAAAATCTTGCTGTGATCGGCACTATTAATGTCCAGGGCCAGAATACCAGGAACCGATGCCGAGTGCAGGCCGGGATGTGATGCGACCGTAAGGAAGCTCTTCACTTGATCAGCCGTGACTAGCTCATCGGGCACAGTGCGTCCACGCTTCTTACGCTCCTGCGTCAACACTGTGGCCTTGTCCTGCAGCTTCTGTATGACTTCGGTACTCATGCCGGCCTGCTCCATTTGGTGAGCTCCACCAACGCCAGCCTCTGCAGCCAGCGTAGGCTCTGAAATCATTGACGGCACATTCACATTGCCCGCCTGAGGCTTCAGAGTGGCCAGCGCCTCGCGCGCCGCCGTCAACTCCTTCTTCAAGCGTGCAATGACGCGACAGGCGGCATCGTGTTGATACAGTGCGTTTGACAGCTCCTGGCGTGTGGTCTGCAACTGTTGGCGCTGTGTAAACGAATGTATCATCAGTGCATCCCACTCATCCTGCATGGTCTTTAGCGTTGCCGGTATGCTGGTTGCGCTAGGCGGCTTTGGCTTGACTACGGCAGGTGTCTTCACTTCGATGAGCTCCTCTTGCTTCAGCTCCTTGCCACTGATCGGATCGCAGCCGTTTTCCATGATATACTTCTCAATGACGCGTCTTTCAAAAACGGCGCCAGAGCACGGGGAGACGACTGGCCACTCGGGTACCTCGTTTGTTACTGAAAAAACATGATATTAGTCTTAATATGGCCACTCGTAACTGACAGAAACTTACGTGCACAAACCAAAGCCATCGCGACAAATATTTTAACGTTTCTGGTCGATTTAAATTTACCTTACAAATTTTACATGCGTTTTCTAATAGAAACAAGCGCAAAAACTGTCGGCAAATACAGCTTCTTCTAAAAATTGCATTCACCGCGAGGCGCAAACGTTTATTAATTCGATAATATATCGAAATTAGTTAGAATTGGCTCATATCACTATCGAAGAACAGCTGTGGCTAGTTCTGGATTAAGAACATCGATGTAATTATCTTTTACTATATTTTTCACTTTAATGGATATAAAGTACTTCTTCCCTATTGAATATTTCATATTTTTCATAAACACGAAAGGAAACCAAATGATTTGGAATAAAACTATTATTACTGCGTTACTGAACATTGGACGCTACAGGCAAGCAGAAAAACATCGAACATCAGAAAACATCGATTAAATAAATTTAAAAGTATCGGGCATCACTATTTCGCCCAGCTCTATCACAGTGTAATTTCGTGTTTCTTTGGCTTTGCGGAATTCCCTGTCTTGTTGAGATATAGTTGATCGTATATAAATAAAAGTAGCCTATTCGAACTATCCAACGTGCTGCTTCAATTACCACTCAAGTCTTAAATAAATCATTTACTATTGCAGTAAGTATGTGGCAAAAAGAAAAGAATTATGGTTTATGGAAAATTGAATATGCGACGCTTTTATCCAAATTGCTGTACATTCATACATTCACATGGATACGCATATGTATGTATTGTGATTGTTTAGCAAATGAATGCTTATATTACAATTATGCATGCAGATACCCAACATATATACACATACACACATTTATGCATCCCTCCTACCTTTATGGATTTTTCTGCTCAACATGCAAGATAAATACTACATACAGTGACTCGCAGTTAAACTGGAACAGCGCCTAGCAAAAAATTTAAAGTGCTATAAGGTTTAAACAAAAAAACAAACGCAAAATGTTTAAATGCCAATTTGTTTTATGTTATATCACGTTTGAAAAGGAAACTTCAGTTTTTATTAAAATATTAATTAATTAACTGAAATTAGTCAAAAACTGGAAACATATCCAAAATACATGTCAAAATTTATTTCGGACAATCTTAGAAAAGTAACATATTTGGCGTATAAAAACTTAAATAAGGATGTTAATACTTAGTATGATATCCTTTAGCCTTAATAACTTCCCTTAACCTATTATTCATGGAAGATACCAGCTTCCGGGTCGTTTCTGGACTGATTTTGCTCCACTCATCCAGCAGAGCATTCTTGAGATCGGATCTGTGATTCCGGATGTTATTTTCCAGCAGAGCCCACAAATTTTAAATAACATTTAAATCTGGAGACTGGGCCTGTGGAATTATCATGTGGGGGCAGTTCCAGATATGCCAGGACTGTACTAATCCGGACTTATGCTTGGCTGTTGTCCTGGTCGTTGTCGTGGTAGAACCGCAAAGTACGTCGGATTCCTAGCTTATTGGCACTTTGGACTAAATTTTCCTTTAATATATTGAAATACACACTCTTGTCCATTGTTGTTTCAAAAAACACCAAATTTCCGACACCGGTTTCCGAGATAGATGCCCATACTATTACACTTCCTCCGTCGTGCTTGACTGTTGCCTTTAGGTGTTTCGGATTCATTTCAGTATTGGGCTGTCGCCACACATAATTCCGTCCGTCCGAGCCAAAAATGTTGAATTTGGACTCATCTGCAAATATGACTGTGTTCCAGAACTCCAAATCCTTGTCCAAGTGGGTTTTGACGAATGCCATCCTAGTCCCTTTATTTTTTGCGCTTAAAAAGGGCTTCTTTCGTGGTACTCGGGCATTAAAGTCATGGTTGCGCAGAACCCGGCGCACAGTTTCCACACTGCACATATTCCCCATTTCATCCTCCACCTGTGGAGTCAGTTTTGGAGCCGATAGCTTGGGATTTTCCTGATGATCCTCCGCTCCTCCTGTTCGGTGAAAATCTTGTTTTGTGCATCTGCCCTTGTCCTCTATCCGATTTTCGTCGACGAAGCGCCGAATGATGTTGGTCACAGCTGATTTGTTTAGAATTACCATTTTAGCTATTTGGCGATGTGAATATCCAATCTTGAAGTGTTCCAGGATGAGATTCCGTTGCTCAATGGTAGTCCGTTTGTCCATAGTCCTTGTTGGCTGGTGGCACCCGAGATGGAGGATATAACTAAACTGACTACGAAGGATTGGTTTATTTATTCCGAAAATAATTAGTCTGACGTAAAAAATCCTGGTTTTATGGCACCCAGGTGTCCATAATGCCACTGCCCGAAATAATATGTGACCATAAATTAAGGTACTTTTTTACATAACCTGGCCTAGCCGGTGGGGAAACCCCAGTTTATGGGGGTCATATATTCCTTATGGTAGTTAATATATGTACCTGCCACCGGTCTTTGGAATTTTTGAAAAAAATTGGATAATATGTTAATGGCAGGCAATTAAAATGTTTGCTAGACACTGCCCGAAATGAACTGAGAGCCACTGCATGTATATGTATGCATGTATATGCTTGGAATTAACTTGTATTCGATTTCGCAGATCAACATGCCGAATATTAAATTGCAATCGTCCGATGAGGAGATCTTCGATACCGATATACAAATCGCCAAGTGTTCGGGCACTATTCGAACCATGTTGGAGGATTGTGGCATGGAGGACGATGAGAATGCCATTGTTCCCTTGCCCAATGTTAATTCGACAATCTTGCGAAAGGTTCTCACTTGGGCAAACTATCACAAGGATGATCCGCAGCCCACCGATGATGATGAGAGCAAGGAGAAGCGCACCGATGATATCACATCCTGGGATGCCGATTTTCTCAAAGTCGATCAGGGTACGCTGTTCGAACTGATCTTGGCGGCCAACTATTTGGATATTAAGGGTTTGCTGGAGCTAACATGCAAAACTGTGGCCAATATGATCAAGGGAAAGACTCCGGAGGACATCCGTAAGACCTTCAACATCAAGAAGGACTTCACTCCCGCCGAGGAGGAGCAGGTGCGTAAGGAGAATGAGTGGTGTGAGGAGAAGTAAGCGAGTCTCGGCAAAATCGATTAACGGAAGATGTAACAGATTTCACGATCCAACGTGAAAGGTGACACAATACATACAGACTTCGCGTATTAAATTAACATTTAACTAGCTTGTAAACAAGAAGTTTAAGAAATAAATATAAAACATGCTTAGACAAAATAAACAACTCCCATTCCTTTCACAAATTGTTTATTATTATTGGTGATAGGTATTAGTATGCTGTCATTGTGCTAGAACTAAGGGAGTTGACTGTCGTTGATAAAGTAGTTCTTGAACACTTAATTTAATGGCTGCAAGATGCCGAAGTAGTGAATCTGGATCTAAGGACAGTGTGAGTATTTTGCTTATGCATATATTCTACACGACAAAGTCATTAAATCGCTGTACTTAGCTATGACTTAGTTTTATATAATTTATCGCTGTAGTCCCTGTCGCCTCGCCTATTGTGGGGCCAACAATTTGAGGGCAGACTGTGTTTGCATCTGCGAGCTGTGAAACATGTGGAACACATATCGATATTTGAAATAAATTTAAAAATAACGATATATCGATAATACATCGAGGTTTTGGCCAACAGCTGTTGCTGTTATTTAATTTACGCGTGCTGATTGGATTCGGCTTTAGTTTAATATATTTTGTAATTATTAACATAAACATGTTAAAGAACATACTACGCTGGCGTACAGGTCAATTCATTTTAAATGGCGCTGTAGTCTCGCCAGTGAGCACAGCGCGCGGCCTGTGCAATCCGTTCAAATCGAACACAAATACCGTCATCGGTGAGCCTGAGCAAAAGTCGGAGGCAAACAGGAAGCCTGTAAATCCTTTTGCACTATCCAGGTCCACACCACTGCCAGATAATACGGTAGTTGAGACCCAAGAAGAACGCGATAAGAGGCTTAAGGTGTTGCAGCTGGAAGCAGACATAGCGCATCAGGAAGGACGCCGTGTGCCTGCTTTGGACTTCTTCCAGGAGCACCACTGGTCGCACGTGCTGACACTGCCATCCAAGTCGGCTCGCATCAAATACTATGCATTTCTGTGGCAAATCCAAATGAAAAAGAAGTCGGACAAAGAGAAGAAAGCTCTGCGGGCCGATGCGACGGAACAACGCATTGCTGATCTACGTAAGCAGCGGGAAGAGAACACCCACATCATCTATGGACTGGCGCACACATCAATGTTTCTTCGCATATACGACACGACCATCAATCATTGGCTGAACAATCGCTTAACGCGTTCAATGCAATTCGCACCAAAAATGGTTCTAGACTGCTCCTACGATGCGAGCATGAACAATCGCGAATCTTCGAATGCTGCCAAACAGTTGATGCTGTGTTTTGCCGAAAATCGTGCCCATGATGAACCCTTTGATTTGCACTATTGTAATACCAACTTTGAGGGACGCTGCATGCAGTATCTAAAACGGTATATTCCCACAATGTTGAGTCCAGAGTTTCCCATGAATGTACACACGAAGTGCTTTACGGAATTGTTTCCCAAAGAGCAGCTAGTTTATCTGACGCCGCACTGTCGGGAGGATTTGAAAACATACAATCCGGATGATATTTACATAGTAGGCGCCATGGTGGACACCGTGAACAATGATCCGCTGTCGCTAGCTAAGGCGAAGCGCTTGGGTCTGCGTATGGCGCGTCTGCCCCTTGATCGCTATCTGCAGTGGGGCTCTGGCTCTGGCAAGTCTCTAACGCTCAATCAAATGATTAACATTATGCTGGATCTGAAGAAAACGGGCGATTGGAATGCGGCACTTCAGCATGTGCCGCGTCGCAAGGTTATTGATCTGGCCACACAACAGGCGGACAATCGCCAGGCGTTGAATAAACGGGCCAACAAGCTCAACGTGCGCATTGATCATCTGCTCAAGTACGAAGATAACCGACGGGAAGCAACCGCATTTGGCACGCCCCAAAAGCTGCGACAGGGCAAAGAGGGCATGAATTTCAACTTAGACAGCTGGGCAACGGGCAAAAAGAAAACGAGTCGAAGTAGTTAATTGATTCCTGGATAAGTTAATTTAATAAAGACAAGGTATTGTTTGAACAGAAATGTAAATTAGTAACAAACATGGAACCATTTGGGGTGTGCATCCTGTAAATGATGACCTATCGAGATTGCATTTTTTGTTGATTAGATATGTGATCTCTCAGCAGTTGGTCTTGTCTTTACTCTTGTGTGTTTAGGTCCTCGAATTATTTATTTTCTTTAAACACCTTCAACTGATGGTCGTCTTCGTTATACTATAGCGGGTCCACGGATAATTTCTCATCTTCAAGTTTATTCAGCTCCTATTTCTATTTGTATTTGATTGCTTTTCTGTCGTTCAATCTCATTATTTGTATTCGGTTGCAATATCTTTTGTTTTCCTTCAGCTCGTGTTCTTGGTGTCTTCGTTTTGCTCTTGCTCTGATTCAAACTGTAATTATTTATCATTAATAGTTGGTTGTATATTCTGCTGTTCAGTCTCCTGTTCTTTTAGCTCCTGTCCGTTTTTTAATATCTCTTGTGACTGATCGTCGTGGTATTCATTCGCATTTATATTTAATGGCGAATTCGGTTGCTTCACCGCTTGATCCTGTGAGTTCGTCATTTTCTGTAGGCCTCCCTGATGCTTGTGTTGTGCGTCCTTGCATTCATTATCGTTTAACTGCAATTTCCCTGCGTTCTCTTGATCTTCATTTCTTGCATCTTTCATATCTGAATTTTCTTTGTCTCGAATCTCTTCTCTAATTTCGTTTGAATATCCCTCCTTTAACTCAATTGGTTCATCTGGAAATTCATCGTTCCCATCTCCAGCTACGTCTCGCATCTTTTTGTATTTAAGCTGCATATTTTTGACATTAATTGATTGATAATTGAGGCAGGGTCGTAAACCAGCCTGCTTTAGCAATTCCTTAGCAGCCGTCTCAAACTTTTGTACGTTTTCCTTGCGCTCCACGGTCAGCAGTTTTGTCTCCAGTACAAAGAGAGACTGTGCGCGCAGAGCGCCAAAAAACTCGTTGCTCAAGAAGTTATAATAATTGTAGGCCACAAAAGCGATATCGAAATAGTTTTGCCAACGTGGAGCGCCCTTTTGCAGCTCCATTATTTCCATCGGCGAGATGAAGTGCAGTTGGACATCTGGAACTTGGATACAGGGCTTATCATAGCTCCTCTGCCCATCGTTCATATCACACTCATTGTAGGTGAGCAGCGGCGTCATTAGCAGTTGTGTGGATCCATACCGCCGGGAGATGGTCTTGTCGTGCTCATAGGCTGTCTGTGTGAGCAGCTCATGGAATAGCTCCAAGAGATTGCGTTCGGTGACATCTGTGGCACGATAGTCGTTCTCTCCATGCACCGAATTATGCATGCGCTCTTCGGTGGTCCGTAGCCCAAAGCCACAGAAGGGACCCGTTTGGATGTCGCCCAAATAACCACGATGCAGATAGGTGCGTCCATTGCGCTGTAGTCCAGCTGCCAGAGTCTTATTCGGCTTGCAGTGCTCGTACTCCGGAAAGACAAAGGCAACACCCGTTTCACGCCAATGTCGATACTCCTGCGAACAAATCTGTTGCGCTTCGCGATCTTTCAGTGTCATACTCAGATCCCAGTCGAAGACGCCCTGTCGATGATCATATCGTGTGCCCAAAATACGACGCACACGTTGCTCCCAGTAACGTTGAATCTCGTACGCTTCATGTTGTGGCTGCCAGTAGCTAAAGGCCATCTCGAGGCCATCGCGTTCCTTGTACTTTAGTGCATCAATGTTGAGCATCGGCGCCAAGCGTTGTAGCTGCTCCGCATCGCAGATCATGTTGAGAAGAGTGCGCGCCTTTGCGGCCACATAATGATGCGAGCTGGGACGCATTAGTGTGTTGCCATAGATGTCCATAAACAGATGTGCCTTGCATACTAAACTAAAGGATTCTGCTGGCTCTAGTGCCAAGCCTAGGAGCAGCATATTCCTGGCCAAAATCTCCACACAGGCATCCAGCACATAAATATTCAACTTGGGCTTATAGGTATGGGTGTAGCGCTTGGCCAGCGTTTTGATTACATGTCGTGGATCAGCTCCACCACAGATGATTATATTGAGTGTGGCTGGCTGCGCTTCCAATTCCATAGCACTAGGCTCATCCGGCAGCTTAAAAGCCTTTCTATATTCCTGGCATAAATCCAGTGCCGAGCTGAGACCCCAAAACATTTTTTACTCACGCACTTTACGCTCAAAATATAAATTTTAATTTTAGTTGCTTCATTTGCTCATGCTATTTATTTGCCTGACGGCAGTTGCCTGGACGACTAGTTCCACTTGCCCCATATACTGTATTGAGCTGCTTGTTTGCCTGACAACGAGTTTTACTATCTTTGCATACACCCTGCGTTTTTTATTTGTTTGCATTGCATTTGCGCTGTGTGGATTAGAGGGCGGAAATTGGTTTTTGAGATCAGGCTGCCAGAAGGGACGTGAATAAAAAACGAAGTCAACTAGTGGGTATGCTAAGACCAAGACAAAAATCAGACCAGCTTAAAAAAAATCCTGCCTCGCTAATCGTAATGCATTATTCAACGTTCGTTTTGCCGGCTTTTAGTTGATTGGAAATGCAGGAGGAGAAAGAGTTGCAATGCCAGCGGGCATTGCTTTTGCCAAACAGCTTAAAATAAATTACATAACTAAAATATGCGACAGCATAACTACTTACAGTTTAAGCAGACTATCCAAAAAATAAACACAACCAAATTGAATTGGTCATACAAATTATGTCAGCTGTGCTCAACTGTCCAAAGTAAACTCTCACTCGGCCTTCTCAAGGGTTTCTAATGCATTGTCTGGAAAATGTTCCTTATTTTTTGGCAGCAAAGGAAAAAAAACAATATTATGCATAGTGATTTCTGGCGGATCTGTGTACGGGGGAGGCAAGTGCGATTAAAAGGATTTACTGAAGCTGCACACTCCACAAGCGTCAGCTTGAGTCGTCTCCCAAGTGGCTTACTTAATCTTCATTCGCAGTTGGCTTGCTGTAATCCGGGAAGTTTCTTTCTTTGCCAACTTTGTGCTTGACAAACTTGAAACTTCTTAATACGTACTTATTTTTGGCCCCCGAAACTCTTAACAAAACTGTTAGCTTCGGCAGCAGCAGCAGCGGCAGGTCGCCTTAATTGCGAATGTGTCCTTTGCCCTTGATTTGCTTTGTTACACGCTGCGTATGTGTGATGTGAGAAATTGCTTGCAGCATTTTTCAGATGCAATTACGCTTTCAACTGTTTGCTGTTTGAGCACTGCTCAGGCGTGTAATGCCAAATCCACACATCTCTTTGCCAAATGCTGATGGATGGATATATTCCTAAAATTGTTGTTGTGCCCAGATTGTTGGCTTCTGTTGGATAGTTGTCGGTTCTCAATTAGTCAGTATGTAAGTGCATTTGCTGGCAGAACGAGAGATAGAGACAGAAATAGACACACACTTCATTTGCCTGCGGTTCAATAAATACGAGCATATAGCAAACTGAATGCCATTCAAGCGGCATGCAATTCATCATGGCATCAGTTTTCAATGAGTTAATTAGAGGCCAGCACCAGCAAAATGACTAAAAGAATGCCAGACAATAGCCGTAAAAAAAGGGAGGGAATTATTAAAAGGGTTTGGCAAACCTTAAACAAAGTGCGGTATACTTATAATATAAGAACATAAAAGTTTTTAATTGCACTTTTGAAATCCGAGATGTCTGTTTTAAGTACGAGTATATGTGTTATAAAACATAAATATTATTATAATATATATATAATTTGTAAATCAACTTTGTTGTGCAAATATCCTCAGAGTTTATATTAAAATTGAATTATTATTATACAGCTCAAATTGTAGTTCATAATATCACAAAAAATCTGCGTTAGGGATAGTCAACGCGTTTAAACGTATTTGATTAATCTTAATTATTTCTGATCAAAAGCCTATCATGCTTTCGAATTGATATACAAATTTAATTTAAAACGTGAGTGGACTTTATACAGCTGAAATTGTTATTTCAAATTTTGCTGTTGATTTGAAGCTTTCAGGCAGGATTCTTTCAGTCAGTAACAATCAAATCAGCTGCACATTATTATATTTTTATGTAGCCTCAGAAAAGGTCATCATAAAATCATTGAAATCCTATACGCCACATGCGACTTTGTTTTGGCCAAACAAAAGTTTGAATAACAATCGATATTTTGGGCCTGTTCATCTTTGTGGGTGTTTGACTGCGTGTGTGTATAAGAAACATTATGATTTTTTTCCTTTTTATTGTGTGTTTGTTTTCAGAAGACCTCCCCCATCCCGAAAAATGTCGTCTGCTCATTGTCAGTCTCACAATAGCGTCAGGCTAACCCACATTGGGGGCTCAGGCTGGTAGCTTTTGGCCGGGTTTTATTTGGAATTCACCTCTCTCTCTCCCTGACTCGTTTAGTGTTATCAACGGCATTCATTGACAATGTTTTGCGCAAACTTTTCTCATTAGAGAGTGTAGACAGAATGGTCTACAGTCTGCGGTTTGGTTAACCAAAATTGATAGTTCGACATACATAGTAGGCCAAAACACATAGTAGGATGCCATATTGATCAATAAACTGCTGCTGTCCAAGCAGAAACTACAAATCCGAAATACATAATTATGAGCTGTCGATCAAAGTGTTGCAAATGTATTTTTGTTATTATTGCATGCATAAATTAACCGTTAGGAAATTACCATTTATCCATGAACCAAGTGACAGCGCAATCATTAATTTAATTTGCGTTGTAGTTTCAATGAAAGACTTTAGTTTTTGCTGTTTTCCAGTAAAGTTTAGTTTAATTTTTGCAATAGACATAGACAGTGTTTTCTATTTAGCACTAGGTTCTCAAGGGATTGACGAACTGCCAGATTGCATTTCCGAAATTAGTTGCCGACATTTATGAACTTTTAGCTGCTACAAATTGTCCCGTTGCTTTCGGGGTACAATAAGTCAATTGATGTTATACTAACGCCACCTATGTATGTTATCATATTGTATGGGGCCTTAGGTTAGGGATTAATCAAGTTATACCTGTCGCATGCATAGAAATATGTGTAGAAATATCGCTTTTAGTTTACTTTTCTTTTTTTTTTTTTTCTTTTTTTTTTTTTTGTTCTAGGCAAGAACTTCTGATTGTCAGATAGTTATTGAAGTTATCTAAGGTGCGTGATAAACTGAAAAAGATTTGTGCGCTTAGAACAGAGTTTTTGGTTTGCTTAAACAAAATAGTACACAGTTATACAATTGTTAACGTTTTTGTAATGGATATGTGTTAATAAATATGGAGTGTTATTCCTTATGCCACTATGTATTTACAATGTTGAAATTAAATGCATGTTAAATGTGCATAAAATGTTAAGGTTTTGATTTTTGTTGAGTAAAATGTTCTCTTTAAAGTTAAATTATTTTTGTTTTATACCCTTAATTTTGCTACTATTCAGCATTTGTGGCATTTTTGTGACAAGTACAAGTTTTTGCTTTGTGTCTTTCGTTTTGTTTGTTTGTTAAGCATAGTTACGCTTTTAACCCCTTAATGTTTTGTGGTTGCACATTTGTTTTGATCGAAAATCACTACACTCTATACATATATATTAATAACAACATATAGGTCTAGTTATTTTTTATGTGTAAGTACATAAAACACTCTACAACATTAAAATGTCAAAACGGCTCGCTTAATATGCTAAGTTCTACAAAGTCTGAGACGGTGGTTTTTGCTTTTAGAGACTACAGGCTACATGTGGAGGAGTGTGAAAATAAATATTTTTAACACTTACTTCAAAACGAATGTTTGAGTTTTACTCGAGTATACGCTATATGTGCGCTATTCTAAACAAACCTAAGCTCAATTCATTTTCACTTTACTTTGCAATAGAAAGTACGCTAAGAAATGTATAATAGATCACTTGAGGGGAGTGGCGATAGTGTAAATTGATGTCAGTTGCTCAATTATTGCTTACCATTTAAAACACTAACTTATCATATAGTATAATTAACAATTATGTTGCCGGAGTGCAATTACAGATTATCCTTTGTGGTATCCTCCTCCTCCTGAAGCGAAATGATCTGGCAAGCGTGCATGGGAATAGAAATGTTATTAAGTATAGCTTGTGTTATGTTTTAGAAATTTTGGAAAAATATCTAAGAAATTAATGAACTTTTTGCTATGCTTAACAAGAATTTTTAATAATTTTTGATCAGTACTACAATTGAGTATAACTAACTAATAGAAACTGATTGATTATTAGTATAAGTAAAAAATTAGTTGCAGGTGAAAAAGTGTGTATGGAATTGCATACAATTCCATTTCCAGGCAAATCAGATTGCAGAAGCATTGTGTAAAACTAAGCTACGTAGTTGTATAGTTCTATAGATAGGCTGTAGTGGGTATAGTGTATGTAGATACGCAGATAGATATGCGTTATATACGTAGCTAGTAACTACTTACTTGAGCTAATCCAAAGCTTGCAATATATTCCACTTGTGAGGACGGCGTGGCCAACAACTAATTACAATCTAAGATATATTTTTGGTTTGTGGTTGTTGCTTATAATTTGTGTTGTTATTTATTTATTTGCCTTATGCAACCTTATTATATATGGTTTATAAATGATTATTACATATTATGTAGAGCTCTACAAAATATTTCAGCACTTGCAGTGAGGTATGCTTGTATCTTTGGAAGGTAATGCGGATTATAATTGTATGAATAACTAAAACACCGCTTAGATCAGTTTTTGTGAGCCTAAAAGAACTCGTCGAAATCGTCTAAAAAGTACAAAGTTATCAATTAAGTACGTCATTGAAAATTTTTAGCAAGTCTAATATTTATTTATGTCGTTGTTTTTTTTTTACTTGGCAAGTGCTCTCTAATCTAATTCCATTTTCACTGACAATTAGATTAATTTGTTGAACGTGCTGAGAAATTTCAAAATGAAACTTGCATGCCAACCGAAAAGTATGAGAATATCATTTGGGAGTCTATTATTTTCAAAGTTACTTTTGAGGCTTAAATGTTGGGAATGGCAAATGCAAAACTTTTGTATTAAATCGTAGTTTCGGCCAAGTGCTAAATTGTACATTTGTTGATTTTATTATTTATTATTGCAGGCGATGCTGAGCTGTTGTTGTGGTTATTTTTGTTGTTGTTACTGTTGCTGTTGTTGTGGGGCATGCTGCAGTGAGCTGCGGGAACTGGTTTTCATACTGGTGGTGGTTGCTAGTAGTTGTTTGGTAGTGATTCGTGGTTGGCAGTTGACGTTGTTTGGAAACGAAAAAATTGAGTTTCATTTCATATTGGCAACTGTTGCTATTGCCAAGGCACACACACACGCACGCACAAACACACACAATAAGATTGAGAAAATAAGCAACATCTTGCGTTGCAACAGCAACCAAATTTAACAAAACTTCAACAAATTTTCAAATTTATATATATATTTAGTACATAATATATACACATCGAAAGAGTGAGTGAGTGAGAGAAAGACAGAGCAATAGCAAGAGGAAAGTAACCAGATAAAACTTTTGATTTGAATCGAAGATGAGTTTTTACTTAAATAGGTCGATATAAGTAAGCATAGCAAAGTAACATTTACATATGATACAAAAATGGTTCAACCGTTTCTTGATTTATTTTCTTGCGTTTCTTTTTTTTTGCCAGGTGTGTGGATGTGGAGGTGGGTGGTGTGGAGCAAAACATGCCTAAAAAAAAAGTTGAGAATAAAACTGAAGAGCTGAAAGGCAGCGCTTACCTCGACACTCCATTTGCATCAATTTTTGCAGTTTTGCAAATTGATATATTGATTCACACACATTCATGAATTGCAAGTGCAACGAAATTTATCGAGTGCCTTTAATTCATTTAAGTGACGCTATTAAATGTATTAAATCGTTGCGACGCTTAGAAGCTAGCAAATAATATTCGTTTACTCTTTATTTTTTTACTGATTTTGTATCGAATTAATCATGCAGAAATTTAATTGATTACAATTTATGGAGCTCATGTGAAAATAATTATATTTGTCGCGCCATTTAACGCAATTTTGAACATCGGTTAAAGAGAAACACATATAACTTACCTCACATTTTCTAGTAATTATGAATAACTACACACACACATACAATTTGCATACTTTATTCGAAAATAATAACTAATAACTACGCATTGCAGAAGGAATTGTGTACAAAAAAAAAAATGTGCTTAGAGAACAAAAGTAAGGTTGTGCAGTGTAGAAAGTGTTGCCAAAGAGTGCTGTGTAGCGGTACGAAGGGCTTACAAGAGGAATAGGGATTCAGAGATTTGTCATAGCGTCACACAGTCATTGCAATTGACGGTGGGTGGTTCGGTGGGCGTCGCACGCACTTTTTTCTCAGACTTGCCGCGAAACAGGGGCCAGCGACGTCGCCAGAAACCACAGGAGTTCCGCCGGCTCTTGGAACTGAGACTGGAACTGGGCAATTCCTCAACCATGGTGCCCAGTGTGGCCTGATTGCATTGTGGATGCAGGACGAGATCGGTGCGCAGACGCTGCACCTGCCGACAGTCATAGTTCTCCACCACAACAATGGGCGTGGCCCGCACTCGATCTGGTAGATTGACGCGAAAATGCGGTAAAAGGGATTGACAATTGCGCTGGCGTCGATTCCGCCACAGCTGCGGCTTAAAGCCGGGCCAATGAAAAAATTGACGCAGTCTGACCGGAGAACGGTCCGCCTGGAGCAGATCACGCACAAGATCAGGCGCCTCTTGGCCTAGTTGGCAGGTCGATTTGGTGGCACTGGTTTTATTGTTATTGTTAGTGTTGTCATATCTGTCATTGTTGCTGTTGTTGTTGTTGTTGTTATTGTTGTGCGGGGGTGTGCTGACATAGAATTTGGTTCTGGTGCGGGAGACACGCAAGCTACTCGTCTTCCATGCATCGTGCAGGCTACGGATGCCTGGCAAGCGAGCGAGCATGTGGATGTGATCGTAGGATGCTGATAACATACCTGCACGCTCATCCTGATACTCATCGTCATCGGAGGACTCCAATCGGTCCTCCACCAGCGACGTCTGTCGCGACAGACCCTGTTTCAAGTTACAAGTTGTAAGTTGCAAGTGAGCAAAACAGAGACAAAGCCAAAGTTGATGTGAAACACATAACATAATCAACAGAATATATAGAAAAATAGAAAGAAAAAAAACTTATACGAAATGATGAGTAAAGCATCTACTAAAAGATCAAATTTGTGTATTCTTCTTCATCTTTTGCTGCCGCTAGGACTAATATTGATAATGGAGAGTATGTGGGCGTGACAGCCAACTTACCGCATTGTGACGTCGCCGAGGTGGCGAACGCTTGTTCCACAACGCCTCCAGTTGATCAAAGTGCTGGGATTGAGCCAGAGCCGCCTGCTCCGGTCCCAGATTGGCCTGTGAGCTGCCCGTTTTGGTTTCAGCAATCTTCGAAATCTCCTCCATGCTGGCTGAGACGCTAAAACGTCGCTTCAAGCGCTCATCGACCTGGGCCATCATCACCGAGGACGTCAAATGTCCATATTTCTTCTGCCAGGTGTAAGTGTCCAATGAGACCTCCTTCTTGAGCAGCCGCTTCATCTGCCGCTTTGGTCCCTGTGGACGCAAATCTAACCGAGATCGGAAAAGTGGACCAATTGAAGTTGCTAGATTAGTGATAAGCTCCAGTCGTCTCACCTTCCACATCCTTGCTGGGGCCAGAATAAGTGGGCAGCTTGACATACTGCGCCGGCGTATTATGCAAACAGATTACGGGCAAATTGTAGCTGTCCACCAGCTGGACGAGCACACGCGACACTTCCAGGCTGATATCAAAGTGCGTGAAAGGCACATGCATCTGCAGAGAGGTCAGCGCCAATCCACGCTTCGTTTCCCATACAATCAACGTCTTGTCATCGCTGCCAGAAACAGCGGTGGAGCCTGTCAAATGAGAGCAATCAAACTTTGGTTATTTATTTATTAATTTAATACGCTTTAGCACTTTTAGCACTAAAATAAAATCGATACTGTCTAAAAATGCAAAATAACATAGCATACAAAAAGTTTTAAAACATTTTAAAATCGATTTTTGAATTGTTACTAAAAAAAAATAGTAAATGATAAATATATAATTCTAGCTTCCAAATTCCCGTTTATAAAGTTTTGCACACTCAAATTTAAGCTATTTGTTATGGCAGGCCCAGGTCCTTCATTTTGCTTCAAAATTTAGTTTGCTCCGACTTTTATAGTTTTTTTTAATAGAACATACAAAAATTTGTAGCTACTCACCATCTGCTGCCACTTGAACGCCAATCACTGCGCCCAAATGGCCAGCAAGTGTGTGCACTTCCTCGCCGGTGAGCAGATCCCAAATAATTAAATTCATGTCCTTTGAGCCCGAAATGACTTGCGTTTTATTGGTCACGGAGACGGTGACACAGGTGACAGCATCACTATGACCGACAAGTACCTGGCTCAGTTTGCCGCCCATCGATTGCCAGACCTTGAGTGACATATCCCGGGAACCCGTTATAATATGCATGCTGTCCGCGCTGATCTCAAAGCAGGTAATCTCATCCGAATGCGAGACGGAATACTTTTCATCCTCCTGCGTTAGGGACCAAATCTTGAGCGTATTGTCGCCATTGGTGGAGATGGCAAAGCGCATGTTATTGGTAGCAGCGAGACTCTTGTAGGGACCTTGAATGGTTTGCAGCACATTGCCCGAGTCGGCCATCCACACGAGCATATTGGATTCGCGATCCGTAGAGATGACGCGCAACGAATCCATGAGTACCACCAGTTGCATCACCGGCGCTGTATGTCCCTTAAACGTATGATTTATCTCACCCAGAGCCAAGTTCCATACCTGCACTACACGATCCTCCCCACCGGTGGCAAGAAACTCGCCATTCGGCGCAAACTTCAAACAATTGACGACACAACTGTGCCCCTCCAGGGTGCTCTGGTACTCCGGCGTATTGATGCGCATCATGTGCACATTGCGCCCAGAGGCAATCGCCAGCTGCTGTGAATCACGCGACAGATCAAAGCAAGTGATCGGCGGCAGCGTTGTGGATGGGGAACGTTGCGCTTGAGTATGCCGCTTGAGACTCCGCTTGCGTCGCGGATGCTTCGAATAGGGATTCACATACAGCTCCTCGTTACGAAACGAGTAGAATGTTATCTTATTTCCGCCCACCGTTATAAGAAAATCATCATTCTCCATGGCATAAACGGCCGTAACGGGTCCCGGATTCGGGGGCATCGAGCGCACCAGTTTACCGGAGTGCATGTCATAGATGAGAGCCCGTGTATCTTCGCAGCCGACCACACAGCGCTGACTGTCCTTGCCAATGGAGATGGTACGTATCTGCAAGTGCATATACATACGGATAACAACTGAGATCCTCTCCACACCCCGATGTCTTTTCTACTCGCTACTCACCCGCGACTTGTGTCCCTTGAGAGTGTGCAGCTCCTTGCCGGTGGCCAATGTTCGCACATAGAGCGCATTATCCTCGCAGAGCGCCAGCAGGAATACCTGCAAAAGTGCATACAATGTACATTAAATGCAATAATGTAATTGACAATTTAAATAAAATTTGAATGCATTCCCTGCCATTTGATGGAAGCAAAAGGCCAACTATATTCCGGTTTCACGCCCACTTCCTCTACGGTACGCACTTTCAGTCTGTTCAATTAAACATTAATAAATTGCATTTCACAGTGCGTTTTCCAATGGTACACTGAGCAAAAGTTAATTAGGCTAATTTATTATTTTATGGCTTTAAGGTATATTCATTTGTAATCAGCCGAAAGAGAATAATTCCAGATTTCTTCAGAAATTAAAAAAATGGTCGTAAGAAAATGTTTTTAATTTAAGGGGATATTCAGTGGACTAATTAATTAGGTGATCTCCAAAAATTGTCATAGAACAAGGTTTGTTTTAATCTTATAATGATGTCATTAAGACTAATATTAATGATAATAATTAATAAAAGACTCAAGTCATAAATATATGTATATATATTCTTGTGATATTTATATATTGTACAGAGATATGGAAATTAATTTTATTTGGGGTCATACAAAAGTATCATCTTTCTTTCATGTTTAGCCTTAGATATGCAGCACAGAGTCCAACACTTTAGCTGACACTAGTAAATATTATATATTATTCATAATATATTCATAAATAGATTAAAAAACGATTCATAATATATTCATAAATAGATTAAAAAACGATTTGATTTATACACACATAGTCATGAAGAAGTTATGTTTTAGTAGTTTATTGCTTTCTATAGTTTTGTTATTGCCTTGTGCCAGAGCGAAATCGGGATCGAAAATTTATTTAAGCTAGTTGAGCTGTCCTCATATTCTATTAAATATTAACAGATTTTTCACCGTGTTCCCGTAAAAGGGCTGGGCTGCAATCCAGCCGGTAAATTGAAAAATGCCAACAACACTAACACCAAGTTAAACAACAACAACCATCAGAAGTCGTAGCAATTGGCAAGGATGGGACGGGGTTGGGGCTATTTGGCTTATTACAACATTTCAATTTTCAGGGAAATGTCTGGCCAGACGATAGGGCAGAATGTGCACAAACTGGCAGCTCTTTGGCGAAGCTGGTATCGAGCATGAGGGAATTTAGCATGCCACAGAGCCATCAGGATGTAAGCTAAAGTGTAAGAAAGTTGATTTCCGTTTGCCATTTGCTACATGGCTGTCCGCAAGCTGAAGAATGACAAGGAGCAAAGCGCGAGTCTCTCAAGTGGCTGGCTAGGCAACAGTACATATTTGAAATATCTATACCTTTGTACGTTTGCGTTTGTGTGTGTGTTTTTGTGAGTGCCACAAAAATTACATTTCAATTTGAGCCTCAAAAATGTTGTGTAGAGCTCGCGAAATTGCGGCTTGGGGCCATCATGTGTTGTAATAGCGAAAGTCCTCCTTATATACTTCTTATCGGCAGCAATTTGGCTACATGCTTATAGGCAATTTGTTAAATGTTAGGCACTTTTTGCCTAATGTGATAAGCAAAATTTGGTTATACTTTGTATTTGGGCGCGCGCTGTCAGCGCCCGAAATGCGAGAAATGAGTTTTTAATTGCCAGAAAGACGAGCCGGCGTTGAACTGAGAACAGTGGCTTGCCATTTCAGTTAGGAGGCAGGACAGGCTCAGACGAGGCTTTTGAAGTCAGTCTCTCGTGTCAGTGTCCTATAATCAGATGTGTCCAACACGTTCCACAGGAGTAGAAGCCGTAGCAGGCAGTAGTAGACAGTCGCACATTATCAATGTATCTGAGACTTCAATTGTTGTCCTCGACCAAGTGTGTCTTGTAGCTTCGAGTTGATCTTGTCGTTAATATGCCCTTTGGGGAGGATATTAACATTATAACACGGAACGTGTAAATAAGTGAGTGTGAGAGAAAGATAGAGATAGAGAAAGATAAATAGATAGGAGGTGTGCAGACCTATTAAGTTCATATTCTGCACAAGTCGAAATTTCAAAAATATGAATTTTTTCATATAGGGTTTGCTTTTTTGGAGCTGCGTACTCTTTTATTAAATATTATTATTAAAGTGTGTATTATTTAAAACGGTTTGATTTTAACGTAGAAAACACAAAATTCTTAGTTCTGACTTTTTAAATGTTATAACTTTCAAACGCTTATTAAAATATCTACAGCAAAAGCAAGATAATAAAACTTAATAATTTGTTTTGATAATCTGATTTGGTGAAAGGGCATATAAACTTCGGTGTGCTTCAATAGGCTTAACTTTTAGCTTATTTTGTTATTTATATTGTTCGTCTGTGTGCCTCGACAGGCGACATTAAGCGACACAAAGACGACACTCCACTGTCTACTTTCGATTTATAGCAATAGATAGAATGGTACTGGAGGCAAACTAGAGAGACTCAGCAAGCACTTGGCACACACACACATCAATTGTCACACGGCTCCTAGCTGAAAGGCTCCCTTCTGGAAGCGCCTAGCTCCAATAACATAGTTGCCATTGATAAAACCACTTGGTCTGCCATGCGTTGATATTGTTTTGTGTGCCAAATTGCTGCTAAGTACGCAATATATATTGATAGGGACACACATAGAGCTCAAACGTACACAAGCACACAACCACCACGCAATGTTCTAGAGCGAGAGAGCGCCTGTGTAACTACGGCTTTTTGTCAAGCTGATTGACAACAAAGGATTTGCCTCGTAATGCGGATCTTCTAAGCCAAAATCACTTATTACAATCAACCCTCCACCGCCCTACTCCCCCCGCCCCTATATTTCTCCAACCTTCTCTTCAACTTTGAGCGTTGTCACAAATTTCTACTTTATCTGCTGTCGCTTTAAGTATATTTGTATATTGTATCTTTTGCATCTTATTTTTTGTGCAAGGCTTCTTTGTTTAGTTTATCTATCAAACGACAGCTTTAAAATTGTGAGCACACTTAGAAGTAGAAAAACATTGAAATCTGCGTTAGACAATTGAGATGCTGTCATAGAATTCTTAACCAATGCGCATTTTCCTTCTTTTTCCATTTTTCTTTTACATTCACGTCAGCAGAGATTTGTTGTCATTTTGTTATTTCAATTGAACAGTTGGATTTGGAAGAAACGCTTGAAGGCATTAAAGAGTTGAAGCTTTAAATTGCTTTTTCCATATGGATTTTATAAACACAAAATGTATGTAATTGAGCATATTCATCGTACACGAGTTAGTTCTTAAGTTAAGTGTACTCTTGAAAATGAAGAGTAGCTTTCCCTTTTAACGCAGGTTTCTCTTTAAAATGTGTAATCATAAATACTATGTTTTGTGAGATTGTTGTTGCTTGCCCTTTTAAGGAGTTCAATATATAAAATGCCAGATCATAATACTTCATATACCACGTATATATGGATTTATAGCCTAAATCTAAAATAATTGGCCCCTTCTCAGTAAATGGAGCAATTTCTTATGTCAAGTACATTGTTTTAAATTTGAAGTGCTTGGCTTTTTTATGTGTATGTGCATATTAATGGGCACCTGTGCATTTTCCCAATAGGTGTTTTCCTAGAGAGGCATGTATGTTACGTATATCGACCAGACAAATGGTTTCACTGTGTGCCACAGACTCATAAGTGAATGTAAGTTATCATCCACATAAAGTATAAATATAAAATAAACCGCACCTAAAACACATTTTTATGCTCGTTCGTACATACCGAATTCCATGAAATATCGATGCGTAGCACAGGACTCGTCATTTGCATGGTATTCAGGAGCGAATAGTTTTCCAGATCCCAAACGCAAATGTTCTTGTCATGGCTGGCCGAGATGAGGACATCGCAGGCGCCAGCAACTATAATTCCACTCACCGGGCCACGATGGAAGCTAATGCGATGTATCTGCAATTAAAGGGGGGTTGGATGAGTAAATCAAATAAAGGAAAACTTAGCTGAGTGAATGCAATACAGTTTTATGGTTCGATAAAACTACATTTAACTAAATGACGAAGGGAGTGTGGTGGTGCAAGGCCAAAATCAAGAGGGCTGAGTATGAGGACTAGGAATAGAGAATTGCGTGACACATGTGACGCGGTCGCCTGTCGTCTGTATTATTTGTACCTGTTTGTGCCACATTTTGTATGCATTAAGTTAATTACCGTACGGCATGCGATGTTGGCAAAGCAGGTTCCATCACCCGCCTCTACTCCACTCACCACCAGCCATAAAAGGATTTTTTTAAAGTGGGAGGGAGTCATATAAAAATGCCATAACTTTAATAAATTCCCTCAAACTCTCAAAAGTCACAAGCTCCGCCGATGACGACAAGAACAACATGAAAGCAATGCCAGCCAGTGTGACTGTGACACGGCGTATACGTAATATTGTAATTAATTTAATAAGCGCCTGTAATATCTTGTGAGTGCGCGTGAGTGCCTGCGTGAATGTGCATGTGTATGTATGTGTATGGTGTGTGTGCTGACTGTCTGCCAAGTCATGCCAAAGCCAAAATGTAAAAGCTGCACTTGACGCTCGACTTTTATAAGCGTTCAATTCTGCGTAGTCAGCGAAATTGGCTTTAAAATATGCCAATGGGACTTTTTCGCCCACCAAATGGCAATAAATCTAATTTAGATGTGTGTCAACAGCGGCATTGGCACCCACAAACATTCTCGACGACGACGACGCCCAAGGACATCCGTATGGCGCATTCTATATGCAAACATTGCATTGTATTTAATCACTGTTTAATGTGCGTGCCTCTGTGTTTGTCTGGCCGGATGTGTATGTGAGTTTGTGACTGCAAAATTTAAGCTTAAAATGATTTATGGGTGTATGAGCATAGGCCGCAGGTTTTTGGGGTTGCGTGTGCGCCTTTGCAATTGCCTCTGCCTCTGCCTCTGCACGGCCATCACCCGCTTCATTTGTCAAACATGCTTAACTAGTAGAAAGGTAACAGCTTAGCTGCTCAACTAGCTGCTACTCTGGAGTGATTTAAAACATATTCCTATGTCTAGAGTTAAGAGTTGTACTGTTTTAGGGTAAGCTATTAATATTGTGCTCTCATGTGCGAATGGAAGTTTACAGCGTAGATTCAAAACTCATTAACCGTAGAAAAGTGCAAAGTGTCGAGCTGTTGTGCTAGTTGATGCTAGATACTAATCTTAAAGGGATTATATAAGGAGAAAAATTATTTAAATATTTATTTCTAACTTCTCAGCTGACTGAACGAGCGCTGTATTTAAGAAATAAAAAAAATACTTCAGCTGTAGCCAGCGAATAACATATTTATATTTTGGCTATTTACAAATAAACTATTAACAGCGTATTCAGCAAAGTCAACACCACTTGGCATAGAAAGCAAAAGTACACTTTGCTTGAATTAATGGACAAACATTAAAATAATGTTAATAGCTTATAACTCAAACAGATTTTAATGAATGTGAGAACTGTGTCCATAATCATTTGTAGCTTATCACAACTTTCGCTATATATGCAAACATAATTAACCCCTTTCGTCAAAGTGATGCAGGGTGTTTTTGATGGATGCCCACTTCCCACATACACACAAATTATGCCCACGTTGATATTCGCAGTGGCGGATGGAATTATGTAAATGAATGCGGTTGGTTTGTTATGGCTCGTGGCCTGGTACTGCAATTAGGCAACAGCAAAATGCATTTTACGTTTCATATTTATACATTGTTCGCCTTACGTTTTGCTCATCGTTTGTGATTGTGTGTCTGAAAGTGAAATGCAAATGAAATAAATCCCAGAATGAAATGAAAATAAAAAATGGAAAATGAAAATATGTGAAAAATTGCAAGGTTGAAAGAGTGCTGAGTGCTGAGTGCTATTTTAATTCGATTTCAATTGCACATCATTGCCATATAGTTGCTCACCAATTTGCCGCTGGCTAGGTCCGTAATGGCAATTGTTGCATCCTCGCTGCTGCTAATGATCAGGGTGTTATTGACGCCAGCCGCCACGCCTGTAATAGAACCCGTATGGGCGCTGGAATTTTTGTTTTTTTTTTTTGTTTGGAGTGAGAAACAAAAGATACACACTCTTAGTGCCAGTAGAGATTCAATGCGATAGGGTTGGGGGAAGCTGGAAGAGCGAACTTACTTAATGTGCGCTCGTCTCTCGCGCAGCGCCACGTGCCACACAAGCACGCTAGTATCTTCGGAACCGGTCAGCAGCAGCTGCGACTGCTGTGGCGCCACCAACAGGCACGTGACTGCCGCAGTGTGACCTGCAATTGTATGTGGCACACACAAGTCGCATGATTAGCCCCCTAATGGCAGACCATTAAATGTGTATATGTGTGTGTGTCAGTGCTTACCCTTAAATGTGTGCTCCAGCGAGTTGCTCATGATGTGCCACTGCTGCACATCGCCCGAGTTAGTGGCCAGTATCAGATGCTGCCTCGATGGTGCCAAACAAACGGCTCGTATAACCCCAGTTCCCGACACTGTCATATTGCGGATCTGCGACGGCAGCGGGGCAGGCAGCCAGCCAGTGAGAGGCACCAGCAATGGCACTGCATAGCCATCACACCAGGCAGTCGCCGATCTGACAGTCATGCTCAGCAGCGAGTTGTCATCGTCGTCGTGCTCCCCAATCGGACGCAACCAAGAGATTAGCTGTGAGCCTAGCTGCATGGGATCCCGGGTGAGGACATCACTTGACTTGCGTATCGTATAATAGATGAGCTCAATGTCACGATCCAGTATTAAGCAGCGAACGTGCTCGATTAGGCAGCGCAGGTAGCTAATCGATACCGTTTGCACCTGTAGGTAAACAAAGCAAATAATTAAGTATACTCAGCGTAGTAGCAATGTTACATAAGCGCCTTAAATTCCTTAAAATACTTTCAAAGTATTCGTTTAATTCACAAAAGGACATACTTTATTGTAACAAATTGATACATTGATATAACAATTATACAGAAAAACTAGTCTAAATTAAGATGCTCAATTAGATTTAAATATAAATATGTATATTGTAAACCCATTTTGACAACAGTTAACAAGCTTTTAAATGTGTTTCTGCTAAGAGAATTATAATATACAACAAACAAGGTGAAGTCTTTTGAGCAAAATAAATAAACATCTCCCATAAATTGTGCAGCTGGGCCAAACATGTCTGCTTGATAAGTTTTTTTAAATTTGTCGACTGAAAATAAATAAATTTAAGCCCATAAACTCCCCAATAAATGTTTCTAAAAATTTATATTTCAGTTTTTGGTGGGTGAACCGAATTAAAAACGAATTTAATTGATATTTGAAAACCTTGTAATTATTTTTATGTTTCCATTAGTCAATTACTTTTAAATATACACTTTTCCAACTTATAACTAAAGTCCTGAGACGCTGTGAATTCTGATCACATGCTCAGATTAAGGTAGCTGACAACTTAAGTCAAGGCTGTAAAAGCTAAAAATATAATACATTTATATTTTTTCCAGAAACGTTGTTGGCCTTTAGTTGTCGTTGCCTTGGAAAATGTTGATTTAATCAAGCTTGAGTTGTGGCTGCTGCACTTTTATGCATTCGCTTAATTGAAATCCAGGTCACATGTATATATGCAGTATACCGCAGGTTGTGCCACATGCCTTTTTTGCATGTTAGTTACAGCTGCAACATTCTAATGAAAACCATGTTTCATATAGCCGCAAATTCGCATGAGCCTGATAGATTTTGCCTTTTTTTTTGTCTATTTTCACACAGTTTGCATTGTTTACCGTCGCTTAACTGCACTTTTTGCATATTTGCATGAATTGCAAACTTTGCCATTTATAAAGCTCATGGCGAAATGCATTTTTCATCTGTCAAGCGCTGATAAATGTTGCATTAAAAAACTACGAATTTTCGCTGACCTAATTCGATTTGACAAAATTAATGCTGCTTAAATAATCATCTCTCAATTTGCCGCTGTCACTCTTTTGCAATACGACTCGCACAAACAACTTTCGTAATGAATGACGACGTTTTAAAAAATTAAACGCCACGCTATTGTTTAAGCCGTAGTGCAAAATTAAGGGCTGTGACTTTAATTCCCAAGTATTCGGAAAAGCGGTGACTGCCCCGGAGATGTTTTATATTATACAGTTTCTTTAACCAAACAGTATTTAAGCTTAAATAGAATAAATTTATTACGCTGTAAAGATTTTGTTAAGCTTTTTTATGTTTATTGAAAACCTGTTAGTTGTTTCGGGGTCCAGGTTAAATGTTTATTATCGTTGAGGGTAACTTTTCCTCAACGAACCCTGCCGAACGGCATTGGAAGCTTATTAAATTGATAACGTCGTTAAGTAAAAGTTGCTAAACAACAGAGATATTTCTATTTGGGAATCGATGTGATATCTATAATATTCCAAAATAAATTTCCCCTAACTTTCAATTTTAGTCTTATCTACATTTATGATGCATGAATAAAATATGTTAGCTTCTAGTTCGCCGTTTAACTTTTCTGTATTGCTGGAATAGTTGAGTGGGTTTCACAAATTTTATGGCCAGCTTAAGTTTATTAGACAAGTTCATTGCTCACATTGTCAGCGCCAATTGGCCAATTTTGTTAGCTGTTTGTTGCTTGTGCGCCTTTCAATCGCGCGCAAATCGACAAGATGGCAACGTCATTTTATCTCGTGGCTAAACTAATTTCCTCAGCTCGAACTAATTGCTCGTTGAAATTGATGCTGCTGGGGAAGGGTGGGGGAAGGGGGGGGTGGGGCTTGTTGTCAACTTACCGCTGCGAGTAGAAAATCAAAATTGCAAACAGCGATTTGCTTGAAGCGAGTCGTGTCATCGGATCGCATGAGATGATGCCAGCTCTCCTCAACGTGCCGCATACTGTAGGACACATCGGCGGCAATTGGATTGTAGAAGGTGGACGTGTCATCGTTGTGGTGCGTCGACGATGATTTACGCCCAGCCGAAACGTTATCCTTTTCACGTTCCTTGTCCTTGTGCGGTTCGCGTTCCTTCAGACTGATTACAGACTTTGTATCACTTCTGGTCGAATCGTTCTCCAGAGTGCTCTCATCGTCGTCCTGCGGAAAGAACAAATTAGCCAGCTCCATGTGCACACAACGTTTGCGTTCCACATCCATATAGCGAGCGTTGGCCACCGTTGCACAGTAGTTGTGGCGCCACTGAATCAGCACCTTGCCGGACATAATTTTGTCGTGCAGCAGCAGTCGATTATCTGCGTAGTGATGTAATTCATTAATTTGGTGACATTATTGTGTTTCAATGTTAAATACTTCTTTAGCTGAAATTTCTCAAAACTGTTTCGCATTGGCCTATGGCCATTTATTGACTTTTTCAGTGACCACTTAAAAATGGCAGTTGTAAGCTGAAGATATAAAGTGGATTGGCAGAACTTACCCATTTGTTTGTGTATCTTCTTGAAGCTGGCGAAACTGAAGTGTCCGTTGTGCGTGTCAATTTGCGACTCCGGATCATCAGTGGGCATAAGCAGCTCTAGTAGCTCCGTCTCGGTCAGGCCATACTCAGAGCAGGAGATGTACGCAGCCAAACTGGCCACTGCCTGTCTACCATAGTGCTGTTCCAGCTCATCGAATTGCTGCTCCACGTAGGCTTCGAAGCTTACATTATCGGCGCATGGTCGCTGCAAGTGCGTTGCATTTGCCTCCAGACTCAACACAAACTGATACTCTGTGGACTTGAATCTGTCCCGCTGCATGGGCGTAAACTTGAGCTGCTCCATGGGTGTTGTGGAGCTGCAAATGATTTGCACGTTCCATGGCAGTGAGGTGGGCAGCCAGGAGAGTGCAGCGACAATATCGCAGTCCAGCGGATTTAGCAGATGCAGATCATCGATGAAGAGAAACAAAACATCATTGTTCATATCCTCGATTCGGCGCAAAAGATTCTGAAACCAATTGCTGATGTAAAGCGGATCGAACGATGCATCCTTAGGCAAATAGCCCTCGGGTATATTGAATATTATCGAAATCTGTTGGCAAATCACACGCAACAGTTCCAAATTGTACGCGGAACGCGGCGAGGCCTTCGCAAAGCGTATCACACGATGCACACGCGTCGAGGTGAACCAACTTGCCACCTGGCCATACAGAGTGCTAATCAGCGCACTCTTGCCACTCCCATGTGCACCACGGATAAAGTACGGTGCATGCCGGCTACCATTCTTAAAATTGGTCATTAGATTCTGACGCAACTGCTGTGGCACCTGCGACTTCAAAAGCACCACACGCTCCGAATGCTCGCGCATTATCCGCAAATGTGTGGCATGTTCGTGAAAGATTTCCTGCACGAATACGAAAGTTCAATTTCACATTAAATTTATGTAAATATTATCTTATTGAATTTAAAATATTTCATTTAGAAACAGTGCTGAGTGGTATTTGCCTAAAAATAAATCTCTGCCAAAACCTTTACATATTGAAATACAAATTAATTTAATAGCGAATAAATATCAAAGTGAATCGATTTTCTGTGTGGTAAGCTAGAGTAGACAACAGCAATCAGCGGCCAAATCAAACATTTGACATGCAGCCAGTGACATCAAAAGTCAGCGAAGTTTCAGGGAATCAAACCTTGACCCTCTGGACGACGGCTAGTTCGAGATATGGTTTGACATTCAGATCAAGCACTTGCCACACACACACAAGACAAAAGCAGAAGGCAGCTCTCATTTCATGACTGGGGCATATATTATGCCAAAATATCTACCGCTTCTGTGTGTCTGCATCAGCCGCAGCCTCCATTCTCCTGCCATGCCTCAAACTATATTTGAGCGACTTTCTGAGTGTGCTTGCTCGTAACTTTGCTTACTTGCTATGCCAACAGAATTCCACCTGCTGAGCAAAGCTTGTCGCTTTCATTGACATCCTCATCCTGGTAGTTTCTATTTGGTCTTTGTTGTTGTTTTTCACTGTTTTCCACTACGATGTAGTGGCCACAAGCCCACTTTTATACTCTCACACACACTCGCACACATACACACACACACACACACACACACGAACATATATGCACTTAAGAGCCCGTCATCTTTATCTTTATCCCTGCCTGAGCTGTCCAGCTTGAACTCATGTCTACACTGTACAACTACAACTTGAGTTTTTGCCAACACCAAGTCACCAGGTCCTTGGAAAGCAAAGTGTGGAATTGAATTACTTTTAGTAGCATTACTCTTAGTCTCTTTTTTTGTTAATTCTTACTTATTCAAAATCATCTATTTTCTAGTCTATTTTTAATAATATAATAGGTAACATTTAGTATTCATCTGATGCTGCTTATGGGCTTGAATATCTATTATGGACTTGAATATTAAGCTTCCGGCACAGTGTATCTTATAGCAAATTTACTTCACATGAATTTTCTTTCTGATTCTTTTTTTGTTTCGAAATAGAGGTAACGAACTACGAACTTTGGCCAAATTTAACTCAAGTTTGTCTTTGTGGTTTCACTTAAAGGTGCTTATGTAATGACTAGTCTAGAACATCACAATCCCAATCTTTATCCTGTCAAATACTAGGTAAAGTTCAACCAATTAACCTCAAACTCGGTCTCTTTAATTAGTAAATTAAAGGCGAGTCGCATTTATTTCAAATTCCAATTATTTGATCCAATAAATTGATTCTAGCGTTTCACATTATTTTTCTTCGATTTGAATAATTTGCTCAAATAGAGAACTCTGATTAGACTCCAACAAAAGGTTGTTTTATGTTCAATTTATCGTTTTTATAGCATGCTTAAACCCAATACCCTGAATTGAGTTAAACTAGAGTGTATCATTTAATTAAAATATCTTAAAAAGCGTATGCTTAACTTTTCTCAGTGCCCACACTCCATCTGTTTCTATAAGCTTTTGCTTTTGCCTTGTAAATCTGATTGGTACAGTGCTCATTGGCAAGTGCACTTGTTGTGGCTAAGCCGCAGAGTCAAGAAACGAGCTGTGGTCAAGTTGGGATGTGAATCTGAATTTCTGCTCCGACTTTGAGTGGTGCTTGGTGGTGCACAGACAGCCACAGATGTGGCTTGAAGGAGAGTCGGTTAATTAGCTTGACATTTGCTTGCTTTCAATTGCATTATGTGTATGCTGTATGTGGCACCAACAACTGAAGGTGAGTGTTTGGCTCTGAGTGTCACCATGTGAATGTTTCTTCTGCCTAGACTTAGGGTGTGGGCGGTTCTAGCTTGCTTGACGGCTTCCAATGTCACAGCATTTTGTCAAAGTGCTCAGCAGCGTAGGAGGGTAGAAGGACGAGCGGGGTTTATGGTGTGCTGGGTTTTTCGACTTTAAAGGCAGACTGGCAAGGCTTTCAGTTTAACGATGGGGTGGCGTGTCGTGAGTGGTGCTCGCCTGAATGCAGTTTATGTTGCAACAGGCGTCGTTAAGTGCAAACAGGCGTAGTGTGGGTGAGGGGGCGTGGCTGCCTGCATTGCAAGCAAGTGTAAGTGTGTTAATATGTCAGCAGCAGCCTGAAAAAGTACAAAATGAGGTGGTGGGTGTGGTGTTGCAAAGACAGGCTGCGGCTGCCATCGTCCGCTAATGGGGCAGCAAAAGCTCGCATTACGCGTCGTCCTTCGGTTTTGCCCTAAGTTTAAATGTTAAATACTTTTAACAAAAGCCAACGAGTGGCGAATGCGAAGGCGAGTCTATGTGGCCGGCAATGTGGTCCGAAAGACCTCAAGCTACCAACAAAACATCATTATCATCATTATCATCATCCTCATCATTATTATTATTATTATCATCATCATCATCATTACCATCACCATTATTCCCGTGGCAAGTGAGTAAGAGCAGAGTCTTTTCAAGTTTTAGCCAAGTGCTGCTTATGGCTGGCGGCTAAAATCCGCCTTGTTTACGCCAGAAAATGAAGATGTCTTGATATTGGTTTTATTTTGGAATTTCCTTCTGTATTCCTTCTTTCGGCATTTGGCAATTCAATTTCACAGGTGTTTCAGCAAATATTGTACAGCGAAATTGATAAGCCAACTGAAGAGAGACAATTCCACTTAAGCTAAACTAATGGAAAGTCAATAAAACATATATCAGAAAAAGGTGACCTGTAAAGCTTTAAGTGTGTAAAAATAAATTAATGTTCAACTGAAGTTTTGGTTCGTTAAAAAACAAATGTGAAAAATTACATTAGGGATAAGGGAAACACCAGAAAAACTATTCACATATTTACATTTAGCTCATATGTGTATTTTGTTTTACAGGTTTTATTTCCAGTAGTGATTATAATTGTCTTCATAAAATTAAAAAACATTTTAATCCACGCTCCTGAAAATATATTATACAGTCCCTCTATACTATACTCTATAACTCATATAAGATTCTACGAATATAAACTTAATGCATAATTTACTTGCTGTACATAAACTCGACACACATTTAATTAACCTACCCAAAGCGTTCCAGGGCACGTAAACAAAAACACAAACAATGAGAAACAGACTGCAAGTATACAGAAAATTTAACAACTGCCCTCTTAAAAATGTTGTGAACCTGCCATCGGTAAAATTTAGGTATGTTGTCTAAATTTGAGATTCCACTTTTAAGTAATATAAATGCCAGAATTTCTTTCTTTTTTTTTGTAGGGCATCTTTGGCTTGTTTGGGCCTTTAATGCTTAGAATTAATTTATGACTGTTTTTTTATTTTTATGGAATGCTTTGCTTTAAGCGAGACACAATTAAGAATGCAGCTGCCAGCTGCGGGGCCCCAGCAACCGTTGCTGATTAAATAAGCGACCCGGAATGAAAAACAAATGCGGCTGTCAGAGTATAAATAAATGTAATTTAATGTGGAGAGCAAGCGCAGACAAAAAACACTTTGTAGCTGTCTGCATTGTTAATTGCGGCACTCAACCACCCAACCCACCCAACCCACCCAGCCATCCATCTCCACACGCTCACAGCAGTATCTCACCTGCACAGTCTTTTTCCTCCCCTTGATTACATCGGGATCATTTGTAATATGCGCCTCGATTAGCAGACGCAGCTTGTCGGTGACTTTGTTCTTGAATTTACTTAAATACGCCTCGTGGTCCTCGTTGTCCGGATCAATGGACTCGCTGCTGGCGCTCCCAGGCACACTGCAACCATAACAATAATAATTACAACAACAACAGCAATAACGATAAAACAATTATGTGTCGCCCAATTAAATAGATGAGTCCCTTGTGCCGGCTACTTACACGAGTGTCGTGTGATTATCTGTTGATAGGTTCATGGTCAGCTCATCTTTGATTTTGCGCAACCGCTCGCTGGCCTCCACGTCGCGTCCGCTGCTTTGGGCAGCGCGCTCCCGGAACACGGCCAGTATCTTCTCACTGGAGTGTGCTGTAGTTTTTGTTAGTTTAATAGGTGGAGCTTCATAAATGCCTCGTCTTGTAATTTGGGTGCTTTACTCACCCATTGCACGCTGCACTTCCAGCTCGATTTGTGTACGTCGCAGCAGCTGTACGCGTCGCATTAGTTCCGCATCCGTTGTTGCAACCAGATATTGCAACGATTTCTCCAGCGTCTGACTCAACAGACGTGATTCTGTCAGCCACTCTTCAGAGGGCAGCGAGCTATGAATAAGTTAGGAGATATAGACAGATACAAGCCATAAAAACCGAAAAAGCATTTTATAATGCTAGGAGAATTGCAGTCATTAAAAACTGGGTATTAATGCATTTGAAAAGCCATATCCGAAATCAGAGAAGCTAACTAAATTGATCAAACTTTCTTAATTTCAACTATGCACTTCTCTCAAGCCCTGAACAAAATAGATTAAGATCAGATCTAATAATCAGCTAAAGCTGAAAAATAAATGTCTAAAGAAAGAGAATTTATTTTTGAGTGCTCTACATTTACATTGTGTTTTTATTTTTGTGTTGCCTTGTACAATCGTCCTTTAAAACTTTTATTACATTTTTTAAATTTGATTTTCTTCTGCCTTAGAGAGTTTTTGAAATTGTTTGCTCTCATTTATTAAATCGTGAAACGTACAAAATGAAATGCAATTATTTCAGTATCATATATCAGTATATATACTTCAAAAGACTAACTTTACGTGCAACATATCAAGTTGCATAACACGCGTCGGAGTGAAGAGCAATAAGTGCACAAGAACAGAAATATTCCCAAGCACAATCAATGTCAACAGCTTGAGATAAACGCAAATTAAAAGCCTTGAGCACAAAAAGGAATAAGTATGAACAAAAACTTCATGGATCAAAATAAATCGCAGAGGAGCGAAAGATTGAGCATTTCGATGCAAAGCAATCGCAGTTAAGAAACATTAATTTATTTAGAGAAAATAATCAAATGCATTTAATTAAAGACTAAATGAACTTACTTATGCGAGTAGGAAATACGTTAATTAATATAACATGAATAAATAATAGTCAAAATTGCTTTAACTCTCTTTTGGGGCTAACGAATATAAACTGACCCAAACATTTATTTGTAGATTCTCAGGTATTTAACAAAACCTTCATTAATTGCTTAATGTGATATGCTTTATTAATTCGCTTCCATTTTCCATTAGATTATTTTAATTCTCGTGATTTATTCCATTCGAATTGTGATTCATTTCATGTGCATTTTCTGAATTAATTTCATTTGGCAATGCTTTCATTGCTTTCATGTTGCAATTACCCGCTAGCCATAAGCAGCATAATTAGCAGCCGTCAAGTGCTGGGATTGGCCTTTCCATATCAGAACACAAATGGTTCTAACTCTCTGCGGGCACCCTTCAGCAGATGCCATCGTTGGCTTATGAGTTGTGCAAATATTTGCCAGGTCTGTGCAGTTGCAATTGAGTTTGCAAACAACAACGCGAGTATGCACAAGGATAATGATTCGACTGCCAAACTCACCGATAGTCCGGTTTGAGCACACGCTGTGTTTCATGCTCGGCCTTGTCATACCAACGCTCAACCAGCTCCACCTCATTGGTCGTCAAAGTTGGCCGCTCGGCCAGCAGGGCTGCGTAGATGTCCTCATCAATGTGTGTGGGTAGCGGGGGACGCCCAATTCCATCGCCAATTAATGCCAAAAAGAAGACGCTCTTTGAGTGCGCATGGCAGGTGTCAATCTCGTGTAGAAAGTCCTGTAGCATATAAGGATCACGCTCCAGCAGCGTCACATCCAAAACGCCCGTACCAAAGTGCATATCAACAATTTCCAGCTATCAAAGTGCAAGCAAAAAATTAGAATCATATTTAGTTTACAGGTACAATTGAAAAATTTAAGTATACTTAAAGTGCACTTAAAACATGAAAATATAAAATGAATTTTAATAACATCTTCACCGATAATTAATAATTAGGTAATCAATTTACCCTAGCTATATTGTTTCAGTGGAGCAGCTAACTTACCTCAATTTGTCGATCATCGTAGAGCATTTGTAGCTCTGGTCCGACCAGCTCGAGGAGCATGCGGCGCTCCTGATTGAACTCCTGCTTCAGGCTAGCCACATAGATTTTGATAAGTAGCGGCTTTGGGAGGCGCGTGTGGGCGCTGGTCACGCCCCGCAGAGCATTAAGGATGCTCTCATCGATTGGAGCGGCCATTTTTACAAAATGCTACAGGCAACTTACTGGTTGGCTGACGAGCCAAAAGGCGATGAGCGTTTGAATGTTGTTGAAAAATCTTTTGGCTTAATTTATTGTTTTCGCTGTGATATTTATTAGACTTGGCCAAAATCAAACGGGAGCGTCACTCTCGCAGTAGCAGCGGCAGCAGCAAAGCCTTGGCACATGTTCAACATCAAGTCACGAATATCTTTCATTGGAGCACAATCTATCTTTGACTGCACATTTCTATCCAGCATATAGCTACATATATGTATCAGTATCTGTATCTGTTTCTGTGCAAATGCATGCGTGTATTTTTGTGTGTCTGTGTGTATTGTGGTTGTGCAGATGTGCTTGCCTCAATCCATTCGCAACTGGCAAGCATGGCAGGAAGGGACCCAGGAACAGGGTGTTAGCATCGCTTGCCACCAGCTCGACGCCGCTGCCAGTTGCGTCCTGTGCATCGCGATGTTGTGCTAAAGTTTGCTCTTTACGGATAATATTATATTTTATTTTTGTTTGCTCCACTGTCGTTGCTGCAAATACAAATTGAAAAGAGCAAATGTATTTATGGTACTATGTGTAAAGCGACAAGCCAAGATTTATGTAAAAAACTTTTAGCGCTAACAAACACACACAAGCCCACACATATGTCTATGGTAAACGAGATGCTGAAAAGTTTTTTCCTTGGTGGAAATACTGTTTTATGATCATCACTGTCATGAGGACGGCAAAGTGTTAACAGTTGATTGCATTTGTGGATTGAAAAATTGCTACGACTCCAACAACAGCAGCAACATATAAAAGAAAGTTTATAAAAAAAAGCAGTTAAAAGTTATACTGGATCGCACAAATTATTTGGCAATAATTTGTAGCACAGTGTTCATCAGATTAATGTCAATAGTTCGCACAGAAGTAGGTCACATGAAAAATAATTGAATTAAAAAAACTTTTACAGAGCAAACCAGCAACAATTTATTGAATCAGATGTGGATCGAGTTTGTTCAAAACTTTTACGCAAGTATTGATTAAGTTAAGCAAATATTTAATTTTGTTTTTTAATATGTGAAATTTGAACATACTTATTTGATCGAAATTTTGATTAAGAAAATATGAACATCAAACTAAACAACATTCCATATTTAGTAAATTTCTATTTTTTAATATTGCTTGACAGCCCTGTACAGCAAAAAATGTTGTTTGATTTACGCGCCACTTAATAAACGTCAATACACTGCAAATAAATGTTCTGATTTTCAAAGGCGCCAAATATACGTAATCGTTGTAGTTCTATGGGTTTTTTTGCAGTTCCACGCGCTTGACTTTAATGTGCGCCCTAATAGAGTGAGATATACAAAACGGGACAGGCGTTGGCAACGGCTACATTTAAGGCTTTACACACACAACAGAGAAAAACACAGAGAGTTGGTCTAATGAAGACTCGCAGTTATTCGCTTAACAAAATCGATTGCAATTAATTCCGCTTCAATGAGTTGGCTAAATTGCTCGTTTGAGTATTGGCAGGAGATGGACTTGGGTCAGCAGCTTCAGCTTCAGCTGGCTGGCCTAAAGGCAGCTTGTCCATATTTTTGTGTGCATGTGTGCGCGTGTATATCTTAATCAAAGGTGCGAGTCAAGCGCGTAGTTTGGCTCTGCGTTCAGCAAGTGCAATTACCAAAGCGGCCTTGCAATGACAACACACTTCACTAAGCAACCCCTCACCACCCACCACCAACACCCATACGCAACACCCATCCCTTCCTCTTGATTATTACCCTCACCTTAAGCCAATAAATATTTAATGGTCAAATAAATAGCGCCTAATGAGCGACTGCCAGTGATTCGAAAATTATAGATACGAATTCAAGTAAGGAGTTTCATATTCACTCCCAAAAGTTTGCGGGCAAATTGTGTTGGCTGTTGAGCTATTGCAGTGACATTTAACAACAGAAAATTACCTGGCCATAATGGAGGCGATTGGTTTGCCGATTAAGCCCATTATTGGGCAATTTCCCCCATTTTGGTGACAGGGAGTTCGGTGCTGTACGAAACAGACGGTGGCAAGGACATTCAATGAACGGCACTGGCTTCTGAATGGGCAGCTGCTAAATAATGGCACAAGGCTTAAACATATGGCCTAGAAGCACATGAACATTGCTATCTATGTAAGTTGCTTCTATGCTTCGTGTGGCATTGGGCGATGAGAGCTGGCTGGTGTCAAATGACTTCCATTAGGGCAAAGCAATGACCACTAGGCACTGCCTCAACGAGCACTGACCTTGATTCAATGCCTCAGCTATTTCTCTCCCTCTCTAAATGTTTATATTGGCCAGCATTCGCTACAGTGAGTAAAAATCGTTTCGCATTGGCAACTGGCTGTTGAATTTAATTTATAAGTATTGATATTTAGCAAATGCCAACAGAGCAACTTGCAACACGTTGCTACTTGCAACAATTCACGAGTTATGGTCTTTGATGCGACCCAATTGCTCGGCAATAACCGTTTAGCAGTTTGCATAGCCTTGACCACAATATGTGCAACAATTTGTGACTGATTCTTGGCCAGTGCTTTTGAAAGGAAGTCAGTTAAGAATTTAGACTTTACTTTTGTGTATAAGCAAGACAGAGAGAGAAAGAGCGAGACTGAGTGACAGATAGATAGAGAGATACGGAGTCAGAGAGAGATATATATATATATAGAGAGAGAGAGAGAGGAATACATATGCTTACATATACATATATAGAGTGAGAGAAAGAGAGATTCAATGAAATAGTAAGGCGAAGAGCTTAAGACAGAGAGCGCGATAGTGATAAGAGACAAACGTCGTCCTCTATAGGTAGTTAGAGATAGAGAGAGTAAAGCTTACCAGTGAGGCACAAAGTTACACGCTACACAGAGACATCTATCTTTAAGAACCAACATAAAATACTCACTACTGAAACTGCATCTGCACTGGACGTGGCTCTGTCCAAATCCTTACAAATTCGAAAATAACATAAAGTTAACTTGCTTATGCCATAAAAATTAAGGTCTCTAGATCTAAAATAAAATTCGTTTGTACTTATACACATATAATTCTCAATTAAATAAAATTTTAGGGCCAGATAACAAAAAATATTAAATCAAAACGCAGCACATAAAACTAACTTAAACACTTCAAATCGAGGTCGTTAATGCTCGCTTAAAAGGCTTTAAAATGTTTCATAAAGCGTTTTTCCTTCTCTTCAAGTATGTATGTGAATGTTTGTGTGGGTGTTGGTGTGTGTCTGTGCAGCTTTAAGCGTTGCTCTGATTGTTGAAAGTCATAACTTTTGGCCCCCGGGCCGAGTTGCATAATCGAAATGGAAGCATGTAGGCCACAGAGGAGCCACTGGAATCTGGTTACGCCAAATGGTTTTGCTCCTTCTTTGTGTAACTAAGTGAGTGGGGGGGGAATCAAAAGGAAGACCAAAACCGAAAATAAAATATTGGCTGTGACGCGCCACGCATAAATAAATTAATGGTAATAAGTTAAAGACCGCAACAGGCTGGCAGAACCAGCAAAACCAAAGAAAAGGAACAGGCTCAAAGATGTTACACAGGCACGAAGCAGGTGGTGTGTGTGGCAAGCACAAAGAAGGCGAACCCAAATCGCAAACGACAACAAAGTTGAGCAGGTTAGGACGAGAAAGCAAACATAATGGTCGAAAAAACGCAAATTCAGCAAATAAACAATGTGGAAGCGTTTTAGACGCTGGCAACAACAACAACAGCAGCAAACTGAAACGTGCAACGTATGTGCCGCACTCTCATTTCGATTGCGTGGCATTAATATTAAATGCGTCGCGGCATATGTCCGTGCGTGTGTGTCAAACACACACACACATTCAGCTGTCGTTTAGGTGCTCATTTTTCTTATAAATAATTAAGCCGAATTCCAACAGCCAAAATTAGAACAGTTCCTATTCATTTGGACTCGGCTCTCGACTGTCTAAAACTGCTGCTTCCCTACTTTGCAATGAGCGAGTTTTTAAGGATTTAATGCCTCCATTTATATGCCAAGCATGGAAGGAAACTTAAAAGCGGCTTTTACTGCCTCAATATTATTCGACCGACTCCATGAATGTTTTTCCGTTATTGTTTTTTTTTATAACCTGTTCCCATAAAAATATTTGGGTAAAGTATCAAAAAGTTGTGTAAATGTATGTAAAAGCCATAAAGTACGTATTTTTATTGAAATTCATATAAAATTCTTCTCACTTGTTTTCTCAAACAAATAGTCAAAACAAAATAAAATGAAAATGTATACTTTTCACTTTCTTGCTAATTGATAAATACGAATAGCAGAAATTAATATTAAATGCATATATGTATAGAGAACATTTATATTACAATATATTACATAGATTTTCGAGCTGTTTTATAATTGATTCAGAAGCTAGCCGTTAAGTAAATGATATTATTCGATATAATTCGGGAAAGGTCTCCTTTTTTAGGATATCTGCCAGTCAAGCATTCTTGCTTAGCGCATTCTAACTTTATTTATTTTTTATTATCATTTTTTTTTTTTGTCTGGTGGTGTACGAAAATAGAAACAAGCGCCTCGAATATTTCTGGCACAGCTGAGACGACAACGAAAGTGAGAGAAAAACTGGAGTAGAGCACAGAGTCGATGTCTTTACTGTTGTTCTTGTTGTTTAGAGCCGGAGTGCACGATGGTAGGGCTATTGTTCCAGTTTTGGCATTCATTGAAATAAAACTTTATGCCACCCATCAGGACAGATGTGGCTGCGACCAGGGAGCTTCGAATGGTTGCCACATGGAATGGGGTGAAGTGGTCTGGGCCAACCACCCAACGTCTACCCAGTTGATAAATACAAAATGAGCTGTGGCCTGAGCTGCTGAAAGTTTTTTGTTACTTCTTCTTTTTTTGTTGCTGTCGACCCAAATTGATTTTTTTTTACTTGGTTGTATTTTATGTGTTCGCCCCTGTTTTGGCCCTCAGATGATGCGTGAAAATTGAGCAATTTGACGTTTTAACTGTTGCTCGTTGGCCATTACCGTTGCTGGCTGTAATCAGCCACGTGCCAACTACGTTGCAGTGAGGCAAGTGCAACAATTTCGACTCTGATTTATGGCGAGCGATTGAAAGGACCCAGTGGGTAAAGTTGCGTATGCGTGATTTGTGGTTAAAAACCGAGCTGATTGACTCAAATGGAATGCACAATTGTAATGTCAGACGTCGCCATTGATTGTGTATGTAATATGTGCCCAGTCAACAACTGTGCCCAGCTGGAGTCCCACAATCCTGCCCGTTATGAAGTTAATTTCAGTTGCCCTCAGCAAGGTGATGACCCTTTTGCTTATATTGTGGGCCTAGCAGCTGCGACTGCTACTTATTACATATATATTTGTGTGTTTGTATGTATAAAATGGCCTTTCTTGACCCTTGACGGTCTGTCACACAACAAACCCAACGCACACTCTCACATACACACAGTTACAGTCAGTCCTTTTATATTCGCTTTATTCGCTGCCTGGCATCCGTTTGATTGT